TATATCGTGCAGAACCATCTGTAAGCCAGGCTTGAGTCTTCTCTTCCTCTGTCACTGATCATAGGAAACTCTTCATGAGACTGGGAGAGAGAAGGCAGTGTAGCAGGAGTGGGAACCATGAACATCTGTGTCACTTCTTCATGTAACTCACTTGTGCCTTCGGGGCCTGCTTGGTCCCAATCAGTCAAATCACTTCCGTTTGATGATGGAGTGCTGTTATGCACGCCTGATGTTATAACTTGCTGGGTGAGAAAACACCAGTTCATGATGGGCAGCTCGGGTTGCGTGATAACATGGTAACCCATCGTTAAGCATTTAGCCTTCTCTAAGGCTCAGCAAGCAGGCCAAAAACTGTTTCTCAAAAGGAGAGTAGTTATCTGTGGAGAATGGCAGGGCTTTGCTCCCAAATACAAAGGGCTGCATTGCAGTTCACCTATAGAGACCTGACAAAGGCTCCAAACAGCATCCCTATCTGCCCTTGACACTCCAAGAGCCATTGCTTGGCCCTGTTGGATCTTATGGCCCAAGCAGCAGAGCAGCTTGCACAGCAGCCTGGCCTGTTGCAGAGCCTTCTCTTGCTCTGGGGTCCACTCAATAGTAGCAGCTTTTTGGATCACAGTAACACACCCAAATGAAGAACATGTTGCCTCCAAAATCTGAAGAAGCCCAGCAGGCATTGTGCTGCTTTTTTGGTTGTAGGAGGTGCCAGATGATACAACTTAGCCTTCCCTTAGAAGGGATATCTCAATAAGCTTCACAACATTGGATGCCTACAACTTTGACTAAGGAGAAGGCCCCTGAAGTGGGTTGGATTTATTTCTCACCATCTTACAAGTGAATTTCTTACCAATAGGTCTAAAGTAGTTACTACTACTTGCTCATTAGGTCCAATCAACATAATGTCATCATTCAAATGGACCAACATAATATCTTGTCAAGGCAATTGAGACCCCCATGAAGTAGATTATGGTATAGTGCTGGAGAGAGTTGGCATACCCCTGAGATAGAACAGTAAATGTGTATTGCTGGCCTTGCAGTGAAAGCAAACTGCTGTTGGTAGTCTTTATTGACAGACATGAAGAAAAAGGCATTTGTCAGATCAATAGTTGCACATCAGGTTTCAGAGAATATGTTAATTTGTTCAAGCAATGAAACCACATCTAGTACAGCAGCTGCAAGGGGAGTCACCACCTGGCTAAGCTTATGATAATTCACTGTGATTCTGCAAGATCCAACTGTCTTCTACATAGATCTAACAGGCAAGCTGAATGGGGATATGGTGGACCCCTCCATTTTTCAAATCTCTGATGGTGGCACTAATCTCTGAAATCCCTTCAGGGATGCAGCATTGCCTTTGGCTTACTATTTCCCTACATAGGGGCATTTCTAGTGGCCTTCTCTTGGCCTTTCTCACCATAATAGTCCTTACTCCACAGATTAGGCAACACAGATGGGGATTCTGCCAGCTGCTGAGTGTACCTATTCCAATTATGCATTCCAGATCTGGAGAGATAACCACGGAATGGGTTTAACCCCACTGGGTTAAAACTCCATAGCTCCTGAGCTAAAACTTCATGAGTAATCTTACCTCCATAAACCCCTACTCTGGCTAGTGGACCACAGTGATGTTCCCTGTCTCCTGGATTCCATGTCAGTTCAGAGCCTTTTTCTGGTAGTACCCAAAAGATCTGATTACTTCCTTTTCCTCAAGGCACATTTACCCTGGTAAAAGGCTGTAGATCCCTTTAGGGAGGGTTGGGGAAAAAGTAGAAGTACAAAATATTGGCAGTGTACCAGCGTCCTAGCTTCCTCTTCATTCAAGGGGTTCTGGCTTTGTAAACTGGCTTAAGTCTGGGAATCCATTTAGGGGCCATGATCCCCTACTTTTATGATTCAAGTTAGACTTTTGCTCACTAGAACTTTGCTCTTTATACAGGTCAACTAAGAATTTAGTAGGCTTTCTATTTGTTTCACTTCTGAAAACATCCGGATCAGCCAGCTAATGCTATCGGTCTAGGTAAGCCAGGCTATTCTGACTGCAGCTTTGACTCTACTGTCCCTTAAGGTAACCACACTCGCTATGCCTTTGGTGGTTGAGAGCTGCCACATGGCTCCTGCTACCCCAGGATCCAATCATTCTATTGCATTTAGGTTTCCCAGTTCAGTGACTGCAGATCCCACTGTAAGGTCTTGCCTACAGAGAAGAGTAATCTCAGAGCTTTTCGAAGATACCAGGGATTCCTTCACAAATTTATTTATCACAATTGTGGTGAAAAATATGTCTTCTGGACTCTCCCTGGGTGAGTGAGAAGATACTAAATGACAAATCCACTCTAACATTTCAATCTCCCTAAGCCTTTGAATCTCCTCCTCTATATTAAACCAAGGCAGTTCTAGCATTCTGAACTCACTCAATATCGTCCACCTTTTGGTCTATGTTTCAGCCAACCAAACTTAGTCCCTTTGTGTTGCTATGAAGTAATAGCTGAGGCTGGATACTTTATAAAGAAAGGAGGTTTATTTGGCTCACGGTTATGCAGGCTGTATAAGAAGCATGATGCCAGAGTGCATCTACTGAGGGCGACAGGCGCTTCCACTCATGGCAGAAGGTGAAGGGGAGCTGGTGTATGCAGAGATCACATGGCAAGAAAGGAAGGTGGTGGGGAGGGAGGTACTGGGCTCTTTTAAACAACCAGTTCTTGTAGGAACAAACAGAGCAAGAATTCACTCACTCTTGCAAGAATGGCACAAGTCATTCCTGAGAGATCTGTCTGCTGACGCAACTCCTGCTGTACCCCACCTCCAACACTGGGAATCAGATTTCAACTTGAGACTTGGAGGGAACAAATAAACTAAAGTTTAGCTCAAACAATTAGAGCCCTTTCTAACTGCCTGAGCTGCAATGTTAAATACAGAATCTTTGCTTAGTGAGCCCATATCAATGAATTCCACCTAATCCATCTTTGTGTTCTTTCTGCCATTATCCTACACCCTCAACATCCACTCCCACACATGTTCCCCAGATTTCTATCTGTATACATTAGAAAACTCCAGTAGTTCTTTTGAACTGTAGTACACTTCCTTGTGAATTGCATTTTGTACCTTACCTTTAGGAGCCTTCTAGGACTTGAATCAAGTTGTAGGTCTAGAAGGGAAGAGGGGTGGTAGAAATGGGTCTTAAGGAGAATCATTGTCTAGCATGGCATCTACCACAGAGGAGGCCATTACAGCTTTAATAGGGCGATGCAGGCTTAATCCCCTCAGATGGGAGGTAAGGGGGTGGAGAGACCAGTACCCCTGGGAGTGGGAAGGTGGCTTCCACAAAGAGTAGAGAGGCCTCTTCTACTGGCAAATATCCAGCAGAATCCAGGGACTCAATTTTCCCAGTTTCATCAGGTCTTCCACATGTCTCCATTTCAACTATCTAAGTGCCTGTCTTCCTCACTTCAACATCAGACATCCTGTGAGGCTGCGAGTTTAACCTGTGCAGCAATTCAGCCCGTCTCAGGATAAGGCCCTGTGTTTGGTTTTCGGCAATCATAGCCCTGCTGCTAAAAGCAATAACGGTCTTTCAGGGCACACATAGATTTCAGGTCTCGTACACGGTGCTTAAGCTGAAGATTCAAATCCCAGAGCTCATCTTTTTCTTTCCCCACTTTGTCCAGAGACATTCGGATCAGCCAGCCAATCTCATTATACTTGTTAGCTTGCAAAAAAAACGTTCAAAAGTATATACACAGCCCCCCAGCTCCTTGCTTCTTATAAGAGGTTGCTAAGGAGTATCCAATGGTGGTATTTGACATATCTCTATTGCCAGATCACTCCATGGACTGCCAGTGCTCTCATACTACTAAAAATAAAGTCATCGGCATCTTTAAATCTAATCAGATTAGAGAGCCAATTCCTGAAACCGCAGAATCAATTCAGAAAACCCATCCTTAACGTTCCTTTTTTTTCCTTTTTAATTTAACTTTTTTGAGACAGGGCCTCATTCTATTGCCCAGGCTGTAGTGCAGTGGTGATGTCGCAGCTCACTGCAGCTTCAACTGCCTGGGCTCAAGCAGTTTTCTCACCTTAGCCTCCTAAGTAGCTGGGACCACAGACATACTACCCTATGCCTGGCTAATTTTTTTTATTATTATTATTGGCAGAGACGAGGTCTCACTATGTTGCCCAGGCTGCTCTCAAACTCCTGGGCTCAGGCCATCCTCCCACCTTGGCCTCACAATGTGATGGGATTACAGGCATAAGCCACAGCACCTGGCCTTTGTCTTTAACATTCTGTTTCTCCAGAACTATTCGAGGAAGTGGGGATAGTCACACAACATTGCAAATGTACTGAATGCATTGAATTGCACACTTAAAAATGTTTAAAATATTATTTTTATGTGTATTTTAACACAATAAAAAAAACATAGTTACAACAAAGGAAAAGAAAAAAACCAGACCCAGATGAAGGTGGGCAAGTGGCGAAAAGACCCTCAGCTCAGTTTAACTCCACAGAAAGTGCTGATCAATTTGATGGTTGAATAAGGGTAATAGCTCCAAGTTTTAGAGTTTTAAAAAATAAGATATGAGTCTAAGGTTTTCTAGCTGTAATTTTATCTTCATCTTTCTTCTAGGATTTAGTTAAAAGTCTTTTCAACTTTTGGACCGATGATTCTACGCTAATGTGCACTTTTAACTTAACATTCGTACTGTCATTTTGTCCCAGGCAGTATTAAAGGGAAGATTCAAGATGTACCTGTTTTTCAGGTATGATTGTAGAGAACACATTTATGATTCTCAAAGATTTCACACATGTGCCTTCTACTGTAAATGATAAACAGCGCTGCAGAATTTGCTTCACCACATGCCTACGGGGTTGTGACTCAGGCTTAACTCTTCCTCCCCCACCCCCATTCCCATCCCACCTGACATCTTCCTTTGGCCTACTTTTCCAGAAATCAAAGAAGTAATCTTAGGTGGTGATTTGAAGTCCCACAGCCGTTGGTACTTACTCCTCTTAAGCTACTCTGCTGTCTGTTCCTTTGTTCTACTGCCCAGGGTAAGTGGCTGGAAGTAGTAAGGGGTCAAAGCCAAGTGAAATCCTCTGGCGTTTTCTTCTGACATCCAGGAATCTGCAAAGTGAGTTTGCTGGGAGCGTCCAGTTTTTTCAGCTTAACGTTAGGTATACTTTCTGCCTTCGGCACAATTGTTTCCAAACGCCTGCGGGTTGCAATATGATTTTCCCATCTTGAAAATCTATTAAAAAGGAAGAGATTCTTCACTTCTCCCCACCCCACCTCCAGGCACTGCAGATGGCGATTAACACCCTGCACAGCCCCTCCCCACAGCATCATCGATTTTTTGCCTGCATTGCATCTACTTCACAGTTCAAGACATGCCAAATCACACACGTTCTAAGTACTTGTTGCTAGCAACAAATCTCTCTCCCTCAGTGGCCAAGCAGACTATATTTGGAATGTCAGAGCACCTAGCCCTTCCCTGGCCCACTTCCTTTAGCTGGGAAGTCTCCAAGCCTTAAAGTAACCTCACCCATGTTTCCTCGGGCTCTGCTTGTTGAAAAGAGAAGCTGGGACTACAGGTAAATGCCACCAAGCCAGGCTAATTTTTTTGAATTTTAATAGAGAGGGGGTTTCACTGTGTTACCCAGGCTGGTCTCAAACTCCTGAGCTCAGGCAATCCGCCTGCCTCCGCCTCCCAAACTGCTACGATTACAGGCATGAGCCACTAAGCCCGGCCTAATGTTTGTATTTTTAGTAGAGACTGGATTTTGCCATGTTGGCCAGGCTGATCTCAAACTCCTGACCTCAAGTGATCCGGCAATCTCAGCCTCCCGAAGGGCTGGGATTACAGGCGTGAGCCTCTGAGCCCGACACAAGCTCATCAAAATATTAAAACGAGTCAATTTTTAATGGCAGTGGAGACCTAGCACATACCTGGCAGTGCATAGGTGCTTCTCCTCTTTTTCTCACCCTCTCTCTTTCTTTTTTATTTAGGTGAAATTCACGTAACACAAACCAAATCATTTTAAAGTGGACAATTAAATGGCATTTTGTACTTTCACAGTGTTATGCAATCACATCTCTATCTAGTTGCTAAATATTTCCATCTCCCCCAAAAGGAAACACATCCCCATTAACCAGTCACTCTCCATTTCCCTCTCCTGAGCCTTCACAAACAACAATCAACTGCCTGTCTCTATACATTTACCAGTTCTGGTTATTTTATATAAATGGATTTATATAATACGTATCTGGCTCCATTCACTTAATGTAATATTTTTTAGGTTTTTCCATATTGTAACATGTATTAGTAATTTATTTATTGTTACATCTGAATAATATTCTATTGTATGGATATACCACAATTTATTGTCTGTTTATCTATTGATGAGCATTTGGGCTGTTTTCACCTTTTGATGTTTGTAAATGGTGCTGCCACGAACATATAGGTACATGTTTTGGTTTGAGCGCCTGTTTTCAATTCTTCTGAGTACATAACTAGGAGTGAAATTGGTATCACTCCCTTTTTTTGTTGTTTGTTCTCTTAATGGTCTCATGTCTGAAGGACCCATAACGTGCCCCATTTTAAAATTCCTGGCATTGTTTGTCACTCGTTCATTTGTCTCTAGTTCAACTGACCAATCTTGACAGCAATTTTTCACTTTTATTAGTATTTTAAGGAATCAATCTATGATTTTGAGGATCTTGTCTGCTTACACATTTGAATTCGTTGTAACAATTGCTTTCCCTTTGGATTTGTTTGGCTACTCCTTTGGTAATGTCTGGAGAGGGCTGCTTAACTGATGTGATCTGCGCTCCATTCATTTGTCCTGGGATCCCTCATCAGGCCTGTGCATTCCCAGACCTCCAAGAGCTGGGACCTGCATCTTTGTCAGAGGCCTGTCACCAGGCTGCCTGAACTTACCTAGCCTATGGGCATAGTGGGCTGGAGGTGCCTGGGAACTAACAGCCTCCGAGGGAAACCTTTAACTAAAGACCAAAAGCTGTCAGGGTGTCAATACTCTGGGTTCTTGCCCTTCGGTTGGGATAATTCTGAAGCATATTTTACTTAGCTTTCTAGAATTCTTCCTTTTAGTTAATGCAATCAAGCTCCAGTCTCCTGCTGTGATGACCGCCTTCATAACACACCCTTTATTGTATATCTGTCTTCTCTCCGTATCTCACTTCCTACCTGTTCCTACTTGTCTATTTCCCTCTCGGGACTGAATTGTGAGCCCCTCAGATTCAATGTATGAAGCCCCTACATTTATTTGTTCAAGTCTGAAGCCAAACTGCCTCAGAATGTGGCTTTATTTGGAGCTATAGCTTTAAAGAGGTGATGAAATTAAAATGAGATCATAATGGTGCACCCTAATCCACTGTGACTGGTATCCTTAAAAGAAGGGATTAGGACACAGACACACACAGAGAAAAGCCCATGGGAGGACACAGGGAGAACACAGACATCCGCAAGCCAAGGGCAGGGACCTCAGAAGACACCAAACCTGCTGACACCTTGATCTCAGATTTCAGCCTCCAGAACTGTGGGAAAACAAATGTCTGTTGTCTAAGCCACCAAGCCTGTGATACTTTGTTGCGGCAGCCCAGGCTAATTAATTCACTCCCAATTAAACTGTTCGCCCTTGAATCTCAAGGTCTGCTTCTGGGGAACTCAAGCTAAGATTCAAAGTTTATTGATTTTTTTCAGAGTTTCTTCTTTTCTAAATATGCATTTGAAGCTATAAATTCCCTTCTAAGCATGGCTAACACTCTGATATGTAGTATTTGATAGTGTCATAAGTATTTGTAGTATAACAGTAAGCTTTGATATGTAGTATTATTATTTAATTTGAAGTATTTTCCATTGCCATTTCTATTTAGCCTGTGGCTGATTATAACTCGGAAGGGTTTCACATTGGCCTTACAGATGCTCCAGCCACGGGTGTCACTTCTGCTCACAACTCAATGACCAGAACTAGTCGTTGGACTCCACCCAGCCACAGGGGAGCAGAGGCACAACCCACCATGTCGGTGTCGCATAGAACATCTTTCTACATGTTTCCTCTTGCATAGGTGCTAGAATTGTTTGAGCATAGACAATAAACATGGGGTGGAATCACTAAGCCGTCTTATTAAACCCATCCTCTGTTTTATTAGAAATTGCCAAGCTGCTTTCCAAAGTGGCTGTGTCAGTACACGTATTGCCCATGTATATTGTTCTGCACCTCAAACCTTTCATGCGATCAGATGTTTAAATTTTTTGACAATTTTGGAAGCATGAAACAATATCTTATTGCATTTTAATTTGCATTTCCCTGACGAGTAGTCAGGAAGGTCAGGTCTATTTATTTTTACTTTTTTGTTTATTATTTTTATTTATTTATTTATTTTTGAGACGGAGTCTTGCTCTGTCACCAGGCGCCAGGCTGGAGTGCAGTGGCGTGATCTCAGCTCACTGCAACCTCTGCCTCCCGGGTTCAAGCAATTCTCCTGCCTCAGCCTCCCAAGTAGCTGGGATTACAGGTGCGCGCCACCATGCCCAGCTGATTTTCGTATTTTAGTATAGACGGGACTTCACCATGTTGGCCAGGATGGTCTTGATGTCTTGACCTTGTGATCCACCAACCTCGGCCTCCCAAAGTGCTGGGATTACAGGCGTGAGCCACTGCACCCAGCCTATTTTTATTTTTTGAGATGGAGTCTCCCTCTGTCACCAGGCTGGAGTGCAGTGGTGTGACACTGGCTCCCTACAACCTCCGCCTCCAGGGTTCACGTGATTCTCCCACCTCAGCCTCCCAAGTAGCTGCGACTACAGCTGCGCACCACCACACCCAGCTAATTTTTGTATTTTTAGTAGAGACGGGGTTTCGCCAACATGGCCAGGATGGTCTCACTCTCCTGACCTTGTGATTCGCCCACCTCAGCCTCCCAAAGTGCTGGGATTACAGGCGTGAGCCACCGCGCCCGGCCAGGTCAGGTCTTTTTTATACCACTTGTCCCATGATGGTTTCTATTTTATATAATTGTATTTTTAAAACAAATTTTATAAAACATTTTCCATTTTAATAAAAATTACATTTATATCCTATTTGATAATTTGTGGCTCATTTCTCTAAAACTAATCCTTGCATTTTAGCAAGACTTCAGGTCTATTTAATTAGCAAGGCTGAATTTAAGAAAGAATTTGAACTTTATTAGGGATCAGTTAACTTTTTTTGGATAAAAGACTAATAGAAATTCTTTATTTTATTTATTTTTTTGCTTTGCAGGCCACATGATCTCTACGGCAACTACTCAGCTCTGCTGGTATAGCGGAAACGCAGATAAAGACAATATGGTATGGCTGTACTTTCACAGAGCTTCACTTGTGGACACTAAAATGTAAATTTTGTACAATTTTCAAGTCACAAAATACAACTCTTCTTTTGACTTTTTCCTCAGCTATTTAAAAATGTAAAAATCATTCTTGACTCAGGCTATGTAAAAAAAAGAGAGAACAGGCCGTAGTTTGCTCTTGGGCCCTGACTTGGCACCCCCCTGAACTAGATGAATGCTTAACTCTAAAGGTGAAGACTGTGATGGAAGCTGTCACATTCTAATATGCTACTTGCTGTTAATGCAACTCACACTGCAATCAACATGGAGGGTTAAGATCTTGGCCAGGTCTTTCAATCCCCTTTCTCTATTTTTGTGTCTTGCGAGGATTTTCTTAGATATGTTTCATGGGCATGGTGGATCCAATGGTCTCAAAAGATTGATCCTGCCTTCTGCATGCATAGGTGTTTCACACAGCAAAGTTCAGGAGCACAGGTCATGCAGCTTCTGGGTAATCAGACCCAACTCGTCTCTCACTGGTGGTTCAGAAAAGCCCATGCTATCCTCATCCAAATAAACTTATGAAATGCTTTGCCAAATGATTTGTTCAGAAAGCGAACACTGAACAACTCTTTGTGTGGAAGAAGAGGAGATCCAGTAATGACAATCCACGTTTTGTCAGAAAGACTTATAAGGCCATGACATTCTTCTCTGGAGTGTTGTCATTGTGTTGGAAGGGATGAAATGGTGCTAGGACACACAAAAAAGGGTCAGGAACAACTGAGAAGACTACAAATCAGCCCTCACTGCTGATTTTGGGCACAGGTAGCTTACAGAGATGTTACACAAGCCCTCTGGCTTGTCAGTGACCCAGGGATCTGCCCCTGCAAGGCTAATACCATGGTACCCCCACGTCATTATACTTCCTCTGAAATGCTCTGGAGTCTATTGCATATATAACTGAATGTTTGTTCAAGCAGAAAACCACACTTTGGACAAATAAGTCTTTGGTTTCTTCCACGCTGGCCACACAAAGCTTCAGATGAGCGTTCTGTGCTTCCCTTGCCTTCTCTCTCAAGAGCTGAGGCTTTATTTCTATTCCACCTTGAACAGTTTCGTTTGAGTACAACATACTTACTGATATTGTCAGCTCAAGTCATTGCAGAATGAATACTTAGATGCCGTGTTCTTCCAAAAACAGGAAGCAGAACCTCCTTCCTGTGAACATTTT